TGGTATGGAATACCCCATTGGCCGGTTGGACTAGCTGTTCTGGTTATACTCCCTCCCAGCTTCTTGTGCACCTGGCAGAGCATGGGAAGCTGAAAAGTCCTTGACCAGTAGGGTACTTAGCAACAACTAAAACATCAGTGGATTTAGTATGAGAAGAATGTTGATAACACAAAACACAGCACTAGGAAGAAATTTAACTCTATCCCAGCCGAAACCAGGACACTACTGTAAGTGCTTGTTTGACTCTGCTTTTCTCCATCAGTCTCATTTCTTTGTTTCTGAGATTAACACTTCACAACTGGGAATTAATCTTCTAATTTCAAGATGAACTCTAGGTGGACTGCCAGAAATCAAGAACAATTTTATATTCTAGAAATGACAAAATGCTCACTTTGGAGTGAATAAACAGCAAGATGTTTGGAGCACATTGGAGGTTTGCAGTATTCTATAGAAGTGCATAAAGAGATTAAGGGAAATACTTCTCTTGGGATGTCACGATAGTAATTCTTTCTCACTGTCATCCAGACAAATCTTTTGCAACATACAGTGATGTTCAAGCAAGAAATTAAGACATGAAAACTCAGTATCCTGGCTTACATCTATACAGGTACATAAAATAACAATGTCAATGAAGTAACTTTCAAAACTAACTCTCTTTTTCGTGTTTCTCAGCTAAAAAAAACAGCATATCTTTTCTCGTCATGGTTGATTAACTGGGTCTTCTGAACAGCGTGACAAAAACAACACACAATTTAACGTCTCAAACATTTCAAAAAATATATATTAAAATATATTTTTAATTTGTTTTTATTTATGTATTAAAATAGAAGAAAAAAAATAGAAATTCCATTTAGCATTAAAAAGAATATCTAGAAGCAATGGAGATGTCCCAGAATAGATCACACATTTTTAGTATTTTGGAATCTTTGCCTACATTCAGGATTCAGATAGTAGCAATTTTCTACCCTAAGTGAGTAATCTAAGCATTTCCTGCTTTGTGTTTTGTTTTGGGTTTTTTTTTTTTTTTTCGCCCTTGATTTTTCTGATAAACATTTCAACTTTGGTTAAGCTTCAAATGGGGAGTTTTAGCCAAAGATTTTTAAACATACGTATTTGTCTGTGTGTATGTATCTATTTTATAGGTAAGATTTTCTAAATATGTATTTTTAAGCAGAAAAGCATATCTAAACTTCAGCAATATCAAAACTCTCTCAAATACAATTTTTACTAACCTTTGACATCTAAATGAAGCTCTTCAGTAAAGAAGGTTTTTGTGTCCTTATTTGGAACTTCTGAAGTTGGCCCAGAAAAGACAGGGTTTTCAGGCATAAGCCTGAACAAGTGATAAAGCAGTTTATTCAAGCTTTTAGTTCTTCTAAGGTGTTGTGAGTAGAGAACTCGCAGCTGATAGTGTTAAAAAAAAAAACACAAAAAAACCACACACACAAAATACAGATGAGACTTAACAAATATAGCTTACTCTGTAAATAATACAAATATGTTCCTATAGGGAGGAAAAGCAAGACTGTGATTCAGAACAAGTGTTTAGAAGAGTGATTTCGTTCTCTGCACCATTTTGAATGATTAGAAGATCATAAAATGTAGCAAGCTTGTTTGAAAATGCCAGAAAGAATCATCTATTAATGAATCTTAATTCTTTATTACTCTAATATTACCATCCTTAACTACTGCAGTGCAGAAATCTAAGTCTATTGATGCTTTCAGAATTCCACTAATTCCACAAAAACAAGAGGTAGGAAGATACATAATTAAAAGAATAAAAAGGCTGGATGAAACTTCAAGATTCAAACCAAATAAGCATGTTAAGAAATTCAGTTAAAAGGAAAAGATCTGAACACATACCTGAGAAGAAGCTGCTTTGAAGAAAGCTAATGTTAACTTCCAAGTGAGAAGATATCCTAGAACAAGACAGAACTCATCGCTCAGGGGCTGAATAACTGCAAATTCTCCAACTGGAATGCATTCCAGGATGTTTTCTAGCAAGAGTTCTTGAGTGGCCAGGACAGACATAAGAGCCGCTGGAGGTGATCTATGGAAAAACGTTATCTGGCATAGTAAACTCAAATCTTGAGCAGAGTATTAACTTTCCTAGAAACCTGTTAGTAAAGCCAGGTATGTAGAACATAAAAGGGGCCTTTTATTATAGGAAAATTTACTTTCAGATTCACACATTAGTGCTAGATTTTAAGATTTTTAATTTTTTTTTCCTGAAATGGACAGTTGGTGTTTTTACCTCTTGCAAGATGAATATAAACTGAATGCTGATCACTTAATCTGAAAGTGGTCTATGGCTGAGCTGATTTAACCTACATCATGGTTTGCTGATTTGCTTGCCTTCTTTCTTTGTCGAGTCACACCAACAAAGAGCAACTGAACACTGGATCTCCTAATCACTGAATGTGTTGGGTTTGGGCTTTGGTATTGGATTAAAAAGCCTTTTGCAGCCCCATAGTAAAAAAAGATATTAACCATTGGGCTGAGGTAAAAAAAGATTTTTTTTTTTTTTTTTTAAATCAGCTACCATATTCCCTCTTCAAACTGTTGACTTTATTGGATTCAAACTGTGTAAAACACCCAAGTCAATTTTGGAGGTTCAAGAAACTAAGTTACCTGTGCAACTGGACACATTCTGAATACAGCAGTCCAGTAAAAATCTGTCAAGATTTTACAATATAGAGCATATATGTTGCACTTACTTTAGTAACTGTACCTAGAAAACAGCTGCAAATATTGTTTCCAGTTTTAGCACAAAGGCAGACTTAACCAATTATATTGAATATTTTCAACATTTATGGCCCTATTGTCATAGCCATGTCATTTTTTTCTTATAACATCTCCTGACAGACAACTACTCTGCTGCAAATCTCAACTCTCGTAACACGTTAAAGATACAGAAAAGAGTTGTAAAAAAACATGAGGAAAAAATACACACAATGCCAATTCCTCCTCTTCATCACCATAAGATTTGAGATCTTCGTCATCAAATTTAGGCAATTCAGGCATTAATCTATAGAAATATGGAAAGGAAATCAGATTTAATTTTTACTATTTTAATATACATGATGCATAGTTCTTTGCTTATCAATGTCAACATTAATGATAAGCAACAAAATAATGGCAATTATTCCTTAATAACAACACAGAATCTTTAAGAGACATGTCGCCATTGCAACATTGTTCCTGAATGACAGCCCACTAGCATGTAGCTTTGCTCGGTTCTTTTCCAGAACTTTTACCGTTCCTGAGTCATGCTAAAATAAACTTCTCTATCTCAGAATAAAGCTATTGCAACTTTATGCCTCAGTGTAAGTGAAAGATAATGGTAGCTTCTTATGCTTAAGCCATCTGCCTCGCAATCTGCACTTTGAGCAGTCAAAGGCACATACTGTTTTCAAATTGTCTCTTTTGGTATTAGAGATATCCAGAAAGTTCACAAGAATACTATACATTTTTATTCACTTTCTTATTTTCTTATCTAAACTAGCAAAAATAAAAAGATCATACTATTTAATGATACTGTCAGACCCAGATCAAATCTGGAATATTTCAGTTTATGATTCTCTGAGTGTTAAAATAGGGGCTAAAAATAAATAGCTTTATAGTTATGATACTGATATCTATGTAACTACGGTACAGAAAATAAAATTGTACCTTCATGTACTGCAGTAAAATTTCTCAGTATATATTCAGTCTACTTTTACAGTTAAATTTAGCATTCATAGCTTTATATAATGTTCTCCAATACAGAACACAAATTGCCCAGTTAAGGATTTTCTCCCATAACGGAACATGACTTTGCTAAACACATCTATAAGTGCACGTTCTACAGCACATTTTAAAAAAACAAAACAGGTTGGGGAGGTGAGGGAAGTGAGAAATTTGTTGATTCTTACTTATACAACATATGGTAGACAGAAATCTGTACAGGTCTAGCCCGGAAAAGCAACAATGGAGACAACGTATTTAGTAGAGTCTGGAGTTTATCTGGAAGATTTGTTTTCTGGCCTGCAACAAACTTTGCTGGTAATTTATGGTTTAATAACTGGTCCTTCGAGATGTACGTTAGGGCTTCACCCAAAGACATTAACACAGAGTTCTGAAAGGAGCCTTCAGATGCATTTTTGGTTTCTCCTATTTAAAATAGAGAAAGACAAGCTGTGATACAGAACGTATGGATGATATAATAAATAAGCATGGCGAGAAACAACTCAGACTCTGCTTATCAGAATCCATCTAATCTTAAAAGTTACAATGTTAAATGCAATTACTTTACTAATTAGCACGTGTTCAAAAAATTGAATTGTTATAAGCTGTGTTGACATAATATTCCTATAAATTAAAAAATACGGCCCGTCAAGTTCTATTTCAGAATTGCCTGACAGGTACCACTATTACCCTCCCTGCCATATACTTGCCTGTGACTTTCACTAACAAAGGTAACAGCAAATTGTGAATTCCTTCAGAAAAGAATTCTTTCCATTCACTGATCAAGTTCACAGGAAGATTTTCAGTAGTTTCAGGAGCTGCAGCTTCAAAGTAAGCGCTAAGGGCAGATGCCAAGTCACAACTGACACACGCAAAAATCTGCACAAGTGGGACATGATAAAGCGAATGGTTTTCATTTGTTGTCTAGGAGGAAAAAAAAAAAAGAGGAAGATTTCTTAACTATAAATTTGCTTTAAAATATCTGTTTAACATTGCCTGTCTATACCAGAAACTATAATTTCAAAGAAGACTCAATTGCAAAGACCATTTTTAAAAGATTTGGGGGAAAAAAGAAGTTTAAAAATATAATATGTATTTTAGTAAGACTTGCTGAAAATTATTTCCAAGTCTCATCAACATTTAGAATCCTGGATGGCTTCCCTTATATGACCTTCTTTATAATGACAGAAAGAAACTGCCACCAAGTGGATTCAAATAGAAATGTACACAGCTGTAGCTTATCTGGAGCACTTGTGCAGCCATGTGAGCCAAAACTGGTATGTGAAGTGCTCTCATTTTTCTCTCCCAAACATAAAAGCCGTACCAATATCATGCTTGTATTTCCAAATTGCAGAAGGAAATTGGCAATACGCTATTGTAAACTTGAAATTATTGAAGTGGCAATCAGGAGAATATTTCCTCTCCCCCAACATAGCTCCTTCTTTTTATTTTTATTCTTACTAGTTTCCCCAAAAAAGGAGTATCATTAAATATTAAAAACATTCCCAAGCACTTAATCTATGCAACAAGTTTTTCATACAAGTTTGCTGTTTGTTTTTTTTTTTTTAATTAAAAAAAAAAAATACAGTTTTGAGGAACATATAGCATAGGTAAGAAGATTAATCCTGCGACCAAGAAAGGCCACATGGAAGTTTCCAGCCTGCCCTTGTAAGTGTGTAGTGACAGAGGGTGCTATAATTATTAAAACAAAAAAAAAAAAAGAAAAAAAAAAAAACCTAGAGGGTGAGAGATTCTGTATCTTTATTTGATTAATAAAGAAGTAGTCAGCTGTTCACTCTGACCTGTTTTCTAACAGCGTTAGAATATAATTTTGATGTTTCATGTGATCATTTAGATATTGAAATGCAGACACTGCTTTTCTTTCAGTTAATTTTTATATGTCATGTTAGACTTTCGTCTTAAATGGATATTATTTTTCAACATAGAGACTTACAGCAGACACATTTCAAAATTATTCTTCAATTACCAATGCCATTACTGAACATCTTATTACTTGAAGGGGGAGGTAATTTCACCTCCATTCACAAAAAGAAACAGAAGATACAGCATTGCTTGTGCTTTTAAGCCACACATGACCTTTGTCAAAGTTCAATGAAAAAAGGATTTTGTGCCATTCTTTTTAACATTGTGTCAATACTTGCTAAGCTGAGATAACTATATGCCTGCCATACCCAGAGAATAATCTAAAAAGGTAAGTACATCAAAACTGGAGATGGAACATTAGCACTCATATGGTAGGTAAAGTTTATTTTCTTAGTTCCGTATTTCAATTGAGATGCTTTAAAATAAGTTAGCTTTGAAATGCTGAGTACCTAGCTATTAATATTGATCATTAAAGTACTAGAAAGTTAACACACACATTAGACAAAACAAAGTTAAAACTGTTAAGACCATTGTGTTCTAAACTCTAAGTAAGAACCATTAGCAGCACTCTGATTTCCATTCCTCTTGGCAATCCTCATGCATCTTTGTTCAAATTTAATTGCTATGTGGCATAGCTTCTGCAGTGTTTTACTGTATCATCTGATATCTATTTACAAAGTGGAAAGTTGGGTAAGTGAACTTTTAACATACAGCTTCCAAAGATTTAGGATGAAATGTCGATCAGACAGCCCAGTAACATTATAAAAATTTAGTTATTTCATAGCCTTTTTTTTTTTTTTTTTACACACACACACACACACACACACACCCCCCGCATCAGTCCAGTAGGTTCAAAGGGCGTCAAGAGGATCCTGTTAAAAGCTGCAGTGCAATGGTTAGTAATAGCCTCTTTCATATTACCTCTAACCAAGCCAGCATGGAGCACATGATAAAGTCCCATTCATTATCAGCCAAAGGAGCTGTGGAATGCTTCAGCAACAAGGGAAGATAACGGATCATCTCTATGTTGAAACCGAGCAACTGAGCACTTGTTTCTTTCAGATTGCTGCAATAAAAATACAACTAAAGCTTACATATCTTCATGTTGTAGACATGAGTATTTATATTCTTGCCTTCACTCCTCTTCTTAGGACAAATTAGTCTCGCACCAGACTCTGACCTATGTGCTTTTGATACTCTTTCAAGGTCTTTCAAAGTTAGAATACTACATTAGCTGCCAAGTCTAAGTCAGTCAGTCAACAGGTACAAAATAGTCTATCAGAGCTAGTTGCTCATTTGCATGTTATAAGATTCCTAAAATTGTACAATTTACATATTCACTCAAGTAATATACTTATATAAACTATGAAATTTAGCAATTTTAACTAAACCAATACAAGAAAAATAATCATTTAAGTGACTAATATTAAAAATAAAATATAAGCCCTCAAGTGTCCAAATAGTGTACATTACTTCAAGACTTAGTTGCCTGGATTTTTCTCACTACACTCAAGACAAATGAACCTCAGTATATTTTCACTCCTTGCTAGAAGCTTTCCAAGTTACATTTTCAGGTCCAGAATTTTAAAAAACAGACACCTAAGTTTGATATCCAAGTTTTCTTTCTGCTACCTAAATAAGCAATCAGAATTTGGAACTAAATATCCAGCAACACCTACAAAAGTTGGTCAATTCTGAATGCTTTTGAAAACAGTTGATATCGAGGTGCCTTAAAAAAGTTCCTAGCTTCCTAGCCTTCCACCACCCCAGTAATTTTCTTCAGTATGAAAGAAGAAAATACTCATACTCTTCAGTATGAGTTATTAGGTACTTAAAGACAGGTATATTAAACTGAGGGATGCAGTTCTATAAAGGCTTAAAAATGTAATATTAGAGCAGTGGATGGCGGTTGTAACTTACAAATTGATTTTGTTGATTTTATTTGGGTTAATAACCACTCCATATTTTTAAACTCTTGTTTTAGAAATTAAAAAAAAGTCAAAGTTGCACCCACCAGCTAAAGAGAAAGCTGTCCTCATTATTGTTTTTCCAAGATATTATGATTTTTAGTATTCCAGGTAGTAGGTGATCACAATCAATACTTCTATCATTCAAGCAGGAGTTCAAAATGGAAAGACACCCAAATGCTCCTATAATGTAATAAAAATGTCATACTCAATAGGTCTTAATTATCAAGACAAAACAAACATTAGAATGTGTGTCAATTGACTGGATCATTTTATTTGAACTTAACATTAATATCATAAGATAGTTTGAATAATACCTAAGCTTCCTTCTTTGAACACTTAATCCAGAGATGCCATTTTTAAATCAAAAATACTATATCCAACCCAAACTTAAAAAAAAACCAAAACAAAACAAAAAACCCCCCTCAAACCAACGAAAAACTCCTATAAGATTAGTTGTTAGCTTATACAATTAACAAAAAGGAAAAATACCTGCTAAGATTTAAAACTGCTTGTTTTTACTAAAAAGGTAGCATGCTAAGCAATAATTTGGACAGATAATTAAGTAAATGTAACTGCGAGTTATGAATTCCAATATTATTGTAAAAGTGTTAATTTTTACTTTCAGAGTGAAGTACTACTGTTGCATTAGTACTGTTTTCCATTTTTAAGGAAAATTGCATGTATCTAGATTTCTTGGAGAACATTTCTTACAAGCATGATAACAAAGAACTGAGTTAATTAAAGTACCATTTATGCATAGCAAAAACAAACAAACAAAAAACCCACTTCACTTAAGCAGCAGTACAATGATTTACAAGAACTTTACCAGCACTTTCCTGACCTGAAAAAAAATTAAAACTTGAATGGTAAGCCTACAACCTACATCACACTTAATGGGAAAATTTGGGTATGTATTGTCTGCTCAGGAATGTGTATGAAAACGAGAAGCAGCAGAAAACAAAATGCAGACCAGCGTTACAAACAAGAGCACTCCACAGCAGGGGAGGAGTGAGGATTCTTTTTCCCAATTTCTGTTTAAAGTTCCACAGCCACATTTGGTTGGTTCACCAGTTCACTCAGAAAGCCAGGAAAGCTTAACTAAGTCCAAAGAGTAAGAGTTAGGGAAACTACTACAGTAGAAAGATTCAAGATTCCTCTCAATTGCTGCATGACACTAACACTGAAAATTTTCACACTTTGGGGACATTCATTTGAAGAACTCATTTGAAAACCTGAGGACACTGCCAAGGGACAGATGTCCACAGTTTAAAGTCACCAAAGATAGTTTTTTCAATTTAGTATGCACAGTCCTGTTAAAAAATACAAAATCAACTTTGAAGTTTTTATATAGACAGATGAATAAAAGTATGTGCAAGAAAGCACAAAAGAGTACTGAGAAAAAAGATGAAGTTCTTTCTTTTAAATGACGTCTAATTCAAACATGTAGAAGGACTGTGTATGAGTATTTCCAAAGAATTTTCTTGAAAAGCAACAAGTTTGTGAAAACATAAAGGTTTTCTAAAGGATATTCAAACCAATATTATAACACACTTGAATCACCTCTAAGTAATTTTTCAAAAGCTGCTGCAAGTGTAGGTACAGCAGTTCTGACTCAGCACACTGTATCCCATGCACTGGAAGTACTACGCAAAAATTAGAGATAAACTGTGAAAGAGTTCTTGCTAAAGCATCTGAAGAAAATCATGACACTACCAGTCCACAATAGTAATATTTTTGCATGCTGTGTAAAGCCTAAATGATTAATTGAAAACTCTGATATTTACAGATGTTTAAATCAGATAGACCAAACAAGAAGTACAGCAATATCAAAATTCTTTTAGCAATATCAGTCTAAATCCTTTAGTTCTAATTTTGTACCAGGCAGTATAGCTTGTATTTCCCTAATAAGGCAGAAAACTACTACGCCAAACAGTCTAGAAAAAATATGCAAACTGAGAAGACATTTCTTTCTAGGAAAAACGGTATTATTATAGTTAACACGTTTTATCTAAAAGCAAACGTTATTACAAAATAATGTTCTTATATTCTAATGAAGTGGACTGAGGTAAGAACATACTCACCATCAGTGTTGGAAAGCTCTGTCTGTGTGCACGTCATAAGTTTGGCCACACAGTGGAAGACAAGTTCTTTCTTTTCTTCCTCAATTAAAAAAGGTGATAGACACTGAAGTGTATGCAATCTGCCCTCTGTTAATGGCAGAAACCTATTCATATAAGCAAAACATCAAGAATGAAACAAACACAAAAATTTAACTAGTAAACAAAATGTCAATTGGTTCATAATGATCTAATATCCTATGATGTAACTAATCCCACACACTAAAACGAGTCTCACTTTTACATACCTACATACACCTACCTTTTACATACTTACGTACACATATATTACCAAATTTTCAGTCTTCAGTCATCATTCATCAGCATCAGTATCATTTAACATTATCAAAATTTGCAACAAACTAAAAGATTATAGGCAGCAGTATTAAGGTACCCTTCTGTTGTCTTAAAAAGTTGTTTCATCTCACAGGATACAGCGTTTTCCGTATGAATCACTTTAGCCATGGTTAAGGACCAGAGTCTTCCATGTTCTTCTGATCTTCAAAGAAGAAGACAGACCCTGGTTAATATATACAGGTGCACAGTTCACAACAAAACCATTTGGATGAAGTTTGAATCAATACACATAAGGAAATATGGTGGCACTTAATACTCTATACAGTGCAAAATACGAAGACAGAGTTAATGGTTGTTTTAGTTTTCTTACATACCTATCAAATATTGTTTGCTGAAGGCTAGTTGTATTACTAAGTGTACTGAACTTCTCATATGTGATGTGCATTTCTTCTAACATATGAAGATATTCCAGAAGCAGATAAGGAGGATTCTCCAATTCTTCAATCCATTGTAATGAGTACAACAGCTCTGCAACTAATTAAACAAAGGTGGTTGTTTACAAACAACTGCTGAATATATTCAGTGCATAAACAAGAAGTTTCAGGTCAAGGTTTTGTTAGGTTTTGTTGGGTTTTTTAAGTATGTTTTTAATGCATTAAAAAGATGACATTTACATGCAATCTCAGATGCTTCAGAGCATGAACTGGCTATTTGCCATTGCATCATAAAATACAAGAGAAGAAAAGGCTACAATAATCTAGTCTAGGTGTTCAGGAAATTGTAAAGCAAATCAAGCATGACAAGAACTCTAACTCCTCTCTATTCTCCCTCTTCTTTTTTTTTTTTTTAAATATATATATATATTTCTTGCAGACAAGGCAATCAAGATCTAAGTCCAGGAAAAAAGCAAACAAATTTGATGCTAATAGTTAGCATGTGGTTTCTTCATTAGCTTACACTAAGACCCACACTGAACAATTACACTTCTCATCATGGTGAGAATTTTGGAGATAGAATTTTTAATTTGATAATGCTAGCTCTAATTTGAGCATTTTATAAATAAAAAGAAACAAGATTCTGTCTGGTGGAATTAAGAAAAATTGCTGCCTCAAAATATCTCTACATTATGGCTAAACACTCAGGGCATTTATTTGATGGCATGGATACAGTTCCTACTGCCCACTCATGCCAATGCACCATGTGTTTTGATAATGGACAACTTTGAAGTTCATCATAAATTCAAACTTCTCCAAATTCAAAGTTCTGTTGAGATAGCACAAAAGGTGCTAGAAATATAAACACCATACTTGTGCATACTTATATTTTTAAAGGAGAACTAAAGAAAAAAAAACCAACAAAAGGTAAAAGGATGATTTCTCACACCTGTACGCCAAACTTTAACTTTTCATTTCTAATTACCATTTCAAGTTAATTTACAACTATTATAAAATCAAATTCCTTTAAGTTTTACCATTGTAACTTACTTATATTGTCAATTTTCTTTCTTTCAGCATCACCATTTCCATGGATTATACCATTTTCCAATACAAGTAGCACCATTTTACTTAATAAGGCTGAAGTACACAGATGGCCTGGAAGTTTAGTTGTGCCACACAGCTTGACACATGATCCTAAAGGTTCACAATTCATACTAAGCCGTCCTTCCAAAAGAGGTTTGTGAATCCACTGTAATATGTGCATAAAAACAGCATGAACAAATAATTGACATTTTAATGATGTATAAAAGAGCTATGATCTGTTTAACCTTGAAAATTCAGAAATATTAAAAAATAACCATGAAAGATACAAATTAACACCAAAAGCACAATGGTGAAGATGATCCACTCCAGCATATTAAAAAAGCCTAAATGCACAGTAGTAACTTGAAACTGCATTGCTGCCTCAGAAATGAATATGTATCTTTAGAACTCTATATATTTTACAAGAAATACTAGAGTTACTGAAGATTGGTGGTTGAACAGGAAATTAACATCCTTCCCCACTCTCCACTCTACGTATGTCAGCATTTTGTTGTTAGTCAGTGTATCATGTTCCTCCGCAGATATTGGTGTCTTTCACAAAATGAATCTTATAAAAGAATTAACTTAAAGATAAGAATATCTTTACGATGTATATTTTGTCAGACAAAATTCCTAAATTGTAAAGTAAGTTGCCAGTGTTCCATGCAGAAAAGGGTAATTTCATAGATTTTCATTTTCTCCAGTAGTACTGGATGGGGCCATAAACATACAGATTTTGTCCTCTATCATGGACAGAGGCTGAAAAGAACCTCTACACAGACATACGCGTATTCATAACTGCAGTGCCATGTCAAAATAAAGAATGCTTACCACCCTAAAGGACAGAGGCTTGAGGTAAGACTGACTACCGCATGCAAGTCCATTATTATTTTCATACCTCAGTGGATAGAGACTCGTGCAATTTCCCCCACTCAGTTTTGTTTGGCGTGACATGCTCAACATAAGCTCCCACAAGATATCCAGACTGCCCATCAGCTTCCATAAGCTTAGACAACAAATCACTAACTGCAGAGATCAAAACCTGAAGGCTGAGAAAAGGAGAAAACACTGCAAACAAGTTTGGCACTACCAAGTAAAAGCAAGCTGCTTTATTTTACATTGATACAATGCTATATACCTTTTTAAGTTATGCTCTATGCCACAGTTCTCACCTCTTGACAGGCTGAAAACACTCTCAGTAACAGAGATGCCAATTAAATAAAGAATAGTATAGCACTGATCTTAGTTTGTTCTGGAGAACAACATATTATGAAATGGACATGTACATCACAATTACCTTTTAACATCCAAAGAGGAAGACTGGATTTGATTCTTGACCCACAGTGCAGATTTATGTAAAAAGGTACTTTGTTTCTGCATACTCCGAAGTTGACGCACAAGTGAATTTACACCAGACATCCAAGTGTGTTTTAATTTACATACAAGTATATCTATTTTAGGGAAAAAAAAAAAACCACACCAACAAACAGACAAGCAAAACCACCACAAACAGATAAACTCAAATCACAACCTACAGCATACAGCAACAATCACATGTCTAAAGGTCCTAGAGCAGGAAAAGAATTCTCTTTTCTATATGGTTACATGCAATAACTATCAAGGGCAAATATACAGGTTTCTTTTTGTAGAGCAATTTTAAATTAACTCTGACACACAGGTAATATTTTATTTGAGAATAAGAGTGATGTTCCTGTTGTCTACTACAATATGTTCACATGGTCTTCAAAACCACAGATCTGTTTAAAATACTGAAATACTGAACATTCATAACATCAATACTCATTTGCAAAGCAGCAGTGGTTTTCAGGTTAGTGTTGTCCTAATTCACTTCTACGGCAACACTGCAACATTTCCTCCTTTGTATCTATGTCAGTAAACGCATACACCAATTTATCACTCTCAAATTCTGCATTTAAAGATTATAAATCAGGATCTCAGTCTGAAAATGAGATGCTGGTGGAGAGAGAAATGGGTCACAATTTGTCAGAGCAACTTGACCAATATAAATGGTTTCAGAATAAATATATGTATCTTTAATGACACTGCAGAATGGACCAAAAAAATGCTCATTCTTTGTATTTCATAGACCTTAAATAATTTATGTAACACTCCAGAAAGTGTGGAATATCACAGCCTCAAAGATGACTGAAGCACAGGGATACTAACATCAAAAAAGTAAAATCCTTGTAAAGAGGTACAGGACTTGATGTTTTGTAGTAACTACTGAGACTGTAAATTAAAGCACAAATTTTCATGTCAGTTACAGCTGCAAGTGCTCAATGTCTGTGAACTCAATATTCTATTATATACTTGAATCTGTTTCACGAAAAAGAAGAATTTAGATGTAATCAACTACAAAAAAGTTTGCTTGAAGTTCTTTTTCCAAATTACCTGTTAAGTGCGTAGCATCCTGCCTCTGAGCACACAATTGGAAGATGGTAAGCAGCAAGTCTTCTGAGGACGGCATCAATAAACACCCTTTAACTGAGCTGAAAAAGCTTGAGGCTACATCACAGATGAAAGATACCGATGGTTCAGTATTACCAGCTTCCGAAAGATCCTTAGCTTTAGACAGAGCTGCTTGAAGTTTATCAATAATCCTTTCAACAAAAGTTTCACTAATCAAAGATTCTATTGGGGAGAGGAAAAAGACAGCATGCTTTGATTACTTGATAAACATGATCATTCAAAGGCATCATATTAGTATGTACCAATGTGGTTTTTATTTACTAATTTTGAATGCAAAATAAAGTGCAAAGTAGTTTCAGTCTAATGTATACGTAAACTCTCTTTCTTATTCCACAGTCATCTAGGATCACCTAACCAAAGTTTCACATTGCCAAGTATCCTTTCTCTAAACCAGCTGAAGCAGCTTAGACAAAGGGTATATAAAATAGAGCAAGTGCAGAGTGATCCCTTCCCCTTTTAAGCCTTTCTAGCTTCTGGCAATCAATTGTGAGCCAGAGATTACATCTGGACCATTGCATATAATTAACCCAATCAGACCAATCTTCCATGAAGAAGGACTTCTGTTATTTAATTATGAACTGTATGAAGAAGTATACTTTTCTCTTTCCTCAAGCCTGTTATCCAAACATCTGTAAGCAACCTCAAGATCTTCCGTTTAAAGAAACAATGAAAAATTTCTTATTTGCTTTTTCCATAAAAATTATGATTTTATGGCTCTTTACCACAACCTCATCCCCAATCACTTCCATTGCAAGCTGAAAAATTCTATCTGTTTTATTGCCTCTACAAGCAGAGGCCACTGCATTTGCCTAACCATACTGCCATCTTTCTTTGGGCATATACTAATTCTATCACACCTTTTTTCAAAAGCATATAGGTGAACAAGAATATTGCAGTGACCAAAACTACAGGCAGTATTCAAGATATTGACACGCCAATGCTATAATAATTTTCATTTGTCCTCTGTTCTTTTCACAGCAGCTCCTAACAACCTGTATTCCTTTTTTGTTGCTAAGCACCAACCTGCCACTTACAGGGAACCATAACAATAACTGAAGATCTCTTTCCCAAGATTTAACAGCTCAGAGCCTACCATTGAATGGATAACAGTTACAACTGTGTTCTTCCCATGTATACTTTTGATATTTATTGGTTTTTAAATCCATTTGTAATTGTATCAGTTAATCATTCAGTATCACAACACACTGCTACAGCTCCCTGAAGTTTCAGGTTTGATTACTCTGAATAATTTATCAGAAACAATTATCATCCTTTCAGTATTTATCCTTCTTTCCCTTTAATGCCTATCATCTGATAGGTTACTGATCCATGAAAGGCCCTTCCATTTACTCCGTGACAGTTTACCTTGAGAAACTTAGATGAGAGATCTCATAAAAAATCTTTTTGAAAGTCCACATACCCTATTTCAGCCTAAATCACTAAGTCAAGAAGAACCATAGCTCCTGAAGGTATTTTAGACTTCATCCAACATGCATTAAAAACAGGTCACACAGCAGCCAGCACAAAATGAATACCTGAGCTCAGCACTCCAGCTCTAGAGCCAAAAAGCAAAGTCACTGGATAACCAGCCCTAGAACACCACTGACTCACAACTGAGCAAGTTTGTTGGACTCACTCTGGAGAGAGAGAACAGGTTTTCCTGATGCTCCTCTACATCAAAAATTCCAGTAACAGAAATAACAAATCTTACAACACCTTCAGGATACACTATCTATGAACATCCACTGCAGTCAACTTACTATGTGCATCTTTGAAACTTGAAAGCACCACAAATGTGCCCAGCATTCAGATAAACTGAAGTATGTTACCTTGGGGATCAAAGCAAATGCTGAGTTTAACAAAACACAAATGACAAGTTTACATGGAAAACATCAAGAAAATTGAACTCCACTAGAAGTCTGTATCACAGATACCACAAAATGCAAGGAAGAAATGAAATAGGATGTTATTAATAAAAAATAGATTACATATGCAGTGTAAGTGCACACACCCAGTTTTTAAAATACATGAATCTAACTGAAAATGGCTCAAAGCAATTCATAGGTCCTGGCATTACCAATGCGTGGATGGGTCCATAACCATTGATTTTTTTATATTCTAGTTTTGAAGGTAAATTTCAGGTGGTATTGTTTAAGAATTAATATTCTTTTACAGCACATCAGCTAATAAATCAAACTGACTTAAATTTTCCTCAGGTTTTCCAGACTCACAAATCTGAATTTGTTCTTTAAACACTGACTTTTGTTTAGGAACACAGACCAAAAAAATTGCAATGTCGCTGCTGCAAGTTAGCGTGTACGAAATTAAACTGGACATGGTTAATTGGCTCTGGTAAAAAAGAAAACAAACACAAAAAATCAAACCAAAACCAAAACAAACAAACAAAAAAACCCAAAACAAAACAGAAGAAAGCCTAGATGTTACAAATTAAGTATTCTGGAAGATCTCAAATTCCTTTCAACCTTCCACAAAGCATAAGTGTCGTATTTACACTTCACAAACTCCAAGGAATAAATATGCTTACCATTTTTAATGTGTTGCGACAACACTAAGCTCAGGAGGGTCCACCTTTCTGAAGAGGATGATTCTGATGAGGCTGCTACAGGTTTTAAACCCAGGTGACACAGATCATCTGACAGCATTACAAGTCGTTCTCCAAGTGTATCTCCTTTCAGCCAGTCAGAGACTAAGGAAAGTTTTGTTGTGCTTGAGCATGCCTGAATCACAAGAAAATAATTCTAACAATCTTTCGAGGGTATTAACTTTTATTACTAGCTAAGCATAAGATTAATACGTCAAACCTGCACACACAGAGTGGGGATCGTATCATCTGTCACAAACAGTAAGTCTCTAGGTGGTTATGTCTGCCACAATCTCCCCCAACCTTCTTTTTGGTCAGAGACAGCAACTTATGGCTAGGTCAGACCTCTGCTTTAGAGTGAAACAAGTCCCCTTCTGAAAGCTCTTCTTTTTCTTTTTCTCCAACTATAGAGCCCAGGGAATGCCTACACTGGAGTTAGAAAGATAACTTCTGGATGACCAGGTTGGCTGAAATAAAATCTATTTACAATATAAAATCTGAATTTCTCTAAAAAGAAATGGAAGGTCACAAATCAGAAAAAAATTATTTTGGTGATAAGCCATTTTAAGTCACAAAATGATAAAAACTGAGGATTCCTAAAATACACAGTATCTGTAAGGAAAGATATTATGGTCAACGCACTGGATTATAAATCAAGTGCTATGAGTTCTTGTCCAAAAATCTGTAATACACTTCATATTTCACCCCAGGCAATCTCTTAAATGTCAGTCTCTCAATATCCCATGTGAAAAAATGGTATACTATCTTTTCCTTGTAAGCACAATGTAAGGGTGATGATACAAATAATCATTTAAATTATCGGTCTAATACCCAACTCCATTCTCTCTAGCTTAGAGAAGGGATGACCAGAAACAAATCAAGAATCCCCCTGGCTCAAAGAGCAAACTGACCAAAAATAGAAGGGACAAAGATGCTTCTGTTTTGGTATGATCATTTCATTTCTAAGACTGTCCCCAGATTTAAATGCAGTTAAAACTAACAACACACTGAAACTATTACTACAAGCTTTTCAAACTATGGAAATTATCACTACTTAAATTTAAAAAGAAAAAAAAAAAGAAAGTCATTCAAACACATGTAACTCTCAAAGCTAACACCAGGGAAATATTCAAAACTATGCAAAACAGGAACAAAAAAGCCTTAAGAGGTACCTTTTGAATTATCTGAAGAAAAATAATCCATTTCAGATCCATCTGAAAAGAAAACCAAAATACCACAATATTTAACAAATTCTTTGCTGAATAGGAAGCATTTAATACCATTTTAACTGTTTGTTTTACAACTTTATTTTCTACGGGGGATAAGCAGAAGTTGCTAAGTTTCAGTTACAAAGTTATTGATTGTATTATTTTTGGCTTCCAAGTCTTTCTCTACCACACAGATCAATAAGGGACTGTATTTATAAGAAAGGCCACCAATGACTAGTATAAAGGCACACTGTATAAAGAAGCAAGAAGAGAGAAATTCTGACGTTACCTTCTTTTTTTTAAATTATTTATACCATAGAGAAAGGGACATATGTCATAACCTTTCACCCCAACACTGTCATGTCAATCTTTCCTAAATCTACCTTCCTCAAGCTGAACTTATCCAAGTTCTTGTAGACTATCTGCCATTCCACAGCCCCAAAATAAAATGATTAACCAACCACAGCCCACAAAAAGAGTAGTCACTTTGATAAAAACTAATAACAAAATGTACAAGAGTCATACCTTCGTTAAATCATCAAGAATGATTTTCCTTTCATCATTACTGTTGCAACAATTAAGCACACTGTACAAAATATCAACCAGAAAATGGGTGTCCTTCCTCCAGTCTTCTTTCAGCCAAGTTATTAAATTCATATACAGAAATTGTACAGATGGACTTTCATGACGAGCTTTAATTTCGTTTTGGGATTCAGCTTGAGCAGAGCTTGCATCATTTCCCTGCTCTAAAAGTACTTGAAAAACTTTGTTTGAAGAAAAAGAGTTGAGCAGGGCAGAGAGAAATTTCAAATGCTGTTCTGACTTCTGTTCATTGACATACACAATACTCAGTTCAGCAAGGCTGCAGACTAAATTCTCTAAAGGTTCTTTTCTTAGAATTGAACTATGCTGCAAGTCAGTCTGTATTTCAGAGTCGCTACTTCTCACTTCCGTGAGCTTTCCATTCTCTGTGTTTCTTTCAGATTCATCCTCATCTGTAAATCTGATTTTTAGATATTTTCTTTTGTTTGGTTTTGTAGCACTCTTTGGATTCTGAAGAATTTCTAGCATACCAGATATGGCAAACAATGATTTCTCATCAGCATCCAACGTATCAACATGAAGTACACACATTTTTAAAAGATGGTCCCAAAAATTTGACAACAGTTTCTGGAAAACTTCATCTGTGCCATCATCATTGGAGAGTTCTGCTTTAGCTTCCCAGGAGCTCAGCATTTCTGCTATTTGATAAAATAAAGGTCCATTTTGTAACCTGGGCTCCTTAAGTACAGCATCGGTAAGCGGAATTAGCTATAAAGACAAAAAAATTATTAAAGAACAGTGATCCAACTAGATGATCATTTTATTCTTTATAATACCAGTAAATTCTATAATTCTGAAAAACATTCCAGAAGCAATTCCGAAAACATCAGAATTACTCATGCTTGAACACTTAAAATATACAGGGGGGGATGCTTTTTTTTCTTTTTTAAATATAATTTAAACTGCACAGTAAAAGGGATGATTTTATAGGAAGGAAAAAATTGACTAAATTCAGTAAGATGATTTTTTCCATAAAACCTAGTGAAACTTTCAAGAGAAGTAAATCCTCACAGAAATTTACGTTTTTCTTTAATTCTGAATTTTAAATGTACACACAGCAATATTAAGTATTTCTAATAAATACCTGGTCATATATAAGCATTTGATGAATTTGCCTTTGGTCATCTTCTTCGTCTACTTTCTGTAGTATGGCAAAGCGCAGACATTCCATAAATGTAGTTACAATAGCTGAACTTTCTGAAGGGCTGGCTATTGCTCGCTCACTTGACAACCTATTGAAAAGCAACATCGGAGCGAGGGCATGCTCAGTCATCTATGCTTCTGAGAAACCCAGTATGTATGTAATGAATGTAACCTTGGTTATGTTGTTCTTATCCAGACCACACCAATATGAGAATATAGAATCATAGAATCATTGATAAGAGTCAGATCAAAACAAACTCATTAGGACATATTTAAAGAGTCAAAACAATAAATCCAAGCATTTAATATAACTTCCATTAAAATAACTTTTTCATCTAGTTTTAGCATTCATAAAAAACAATCTGTGTAAAGAGAAGAAAAATATCCAGTCAAGCATACTGTCTACTGTTTCAGCTGTTTGTCAAAACTCCTTTGCAATTTTCTACACACACCACAGAGGTTTAGAAGGCGTCACTTTACAGAAAAGAAAAAAAACTAAAACAAAAAGCCACCAAAAGACAGTTTCGCCATAACCAGTTTGAGACTGAACAGCTGTGATCTGTTTGCTTTTTAATGAAAATTAGACCACACAAATTACCATACAAATATTACAACCATTTTACTACTTGTAATAAAATTCTATACACTTTTCAAAACCAACTCATACATAACTCTCTTCTCCAAGAGCTCTGCTAATGGCCACGCCAACATCAATCAAGAATTGATTTTTGTTTAAAAAAGTTACGTTTTAGTCTTTGGTAAAATAACTTACATATGCTTTTGAGTACACAATACACATGCATCTATTTAAATTAGATTTGATAGAAAGTTGGTTTTGACGTATTTTAAAGGCAAAAAAGGATAGCAGTTTCAATCCTTTAAAAATCAGGATCACGAGAAATAAAGTTCCTGCATATAGGAAATGTCACAAACACAACGCTAATCCCTAATAACCTCTGTAATAATTACACACTGGTGAGAAGAGCCTGATATCTTCAAAGCCACTCTTAATTTTAAATTAATTTCCCATTTTAAAACTTATCATGGAATAAACACGCAGCTTTAACAAGAAAAGATAAGAATGCTTTAGGTAAAAAAGACATAATAAAATCAAAAAGAAGGCTGAAGGTTTAGGAAGACAGGGACAGCCACAAAGGACTGACCCTAAAGTTTTGGATATTTAAAAGTATTTTAAAAATATTATTTTCAAATATCATAGTGAAAACAGTCTTTTCTCAAATAAACAATTAATGCATATTTAAATATCCTCAAATTATATGTTATTTATCTTTAAATGCTTAAAGAAGATTAGTTCTCCTATTTCCAAATGTAAAAGAGACTGATTTCAAAAAAATGAATAATTTTGTGGTTCATACCCTTGAATTATAGAGCTGAAAAAAGTTCTGAAATATTCCAGCTTTGGTTCTGCAATGCCAGGAGGTACCTTGCTAATGAACGGCAAGAGATTTGGGTATATAACAGTAGCTAGTCCTCGTCCACCTTCTCGAAGTACTGTCCATAGCTTTGGTAGAACTCCCTTTTTGGCGTTTACATGACTCCAACAGTCCTACAGAAAGAAATATGCTTATTGTAAATTAAACGAGAATATGGTGCCTTGGAAGAACTCCCAAGCTAGACATTTAATCTACCTCCCTGTGTTGTAGCTAGACATTTAATCTACCTCCCAATGTTGTAGCTGAAACAAGTTATTGTAAAATTTAAATGCACTTGCCAGTATTTTTAAAAATCACTTTCTCCCTATTTCAGCTTGTGAATTTAAGAACATGATAAAACTGTTTCTGTATTGTTTAAAATCAATGGACCTTCCCTGTTAGCAAACTGCAGCTAAAGGCTTCTCTTTAATAATGCTTTAAGGATGCTTCATAAAAATCATCACTGTAACTGGTCCTGTATTTAATTCTGAGTTCTTATTATCAAGAATAAGCAATGATTTCAAAATCCTAACTTTAGAAGCATCACTAACTTCAAAACTGCCCTCAAAAATCTTCTGATGATTACAAAATACCTTGGCACTTCCCCCCACACCCCAAAGTTTTTTGTCATCTGATCTGATTTATCATAATTCCAGATACCTATATTTATAGCAAGCTGAACAAAGATTTTTTTTTCCCCATAAATTGTTACACTTTATACCAGCAGTTACAAAAGAGATCTGCAGCATTAAACCCTCAAAGCATTCCAGTCTATGGCAATACCACTCATCCTGCTAATAAATTCAAAGCCGGTATTTCACTTAAAATTTAAAAAAAAAAAAAAGAAAAAAAAGAAAAAAAAGAGAAAAAAAGAAAAAAAGAAAAAAAGAAAAAAGAGGAAAAAAGGAAAAAGGAAAAAGGAAAAAAGAAAAAAAGAAAAAAGAAAAAAGAAAAAAGAAAAAAGAAAAAAGAAAAAAGAAAAAAGAAAAAAGAAAAAAGAAAAAAGAAAAAAGAAAAAAGAAAAAAGAAAAAAGAAAAAAGAAAAAAGAAAAAAGAAAAAAGAAAAAAGAAAAAAGAAAAAAGAAAAAAGAAAAAAGAAAAAAGAAAAAAGAAAAAAGAAAAAAGAAAAAAGAAAAAAGAAAAAAGAAAAAAGAAAAAAGAAAAAAGAAAAAAGAAAAAAGAAAAAAGAAAAAAGAAAAAAGAAAAAAGAAAAAAGAAAAAAGAAAAAAGAAAAAAGAAAAAAGAAAAAAGAAAAAAGAAAAAAGAAAAAAGAAAAAAGAAAAAAGAAAAAAGAAAAAAGAAAAAAGAAAAAAGAAAAAAGAAAAAAGAAAAAAGAAAAAAGAAAAAAGAAAAAAGAAAAAAGAAAAAAGAAAAAAGAAAAAAGAAATAAAAAAGAAAAAAGAAAAAAAGAAAGAAAAAAAGAAAAAAGTTATAGAACCAAGCGTTAAATTAGAAGGGGAAACAAACAAACCAAAAATGCAATGCAGGTCATTTCTGTAACTGTCTTTAACCAAGAAAAAGGTTTTAAGTATTATTTTACTTATTAGTAACTATTTTTAATCAAAGGGATTCAGGTTAATTTAATTAAACTTATAGAACAACTCTGATTTTCAGATATGCTGGACACAATATATTTGAAAGTTACACTGAAACCCTAAGGAGGAAGAAGGAGCATGTAGCACTGATGAGTTCATGTTATTAATCATAAAGAAAACCCAGTCAAGCTGTTCTTCCTAATACTACATAGAGAACAATGGCACTTGGTGAAAAGTTAAATTTGAGTAAAATATCTGCCCCTTAGGTTTCCCACATTACCTCAATAGTGGCGATAGCATAAAGTACAGCTTCCCAAAGAGCGGGACACACCACTGCATCACTGTCATCAATGCTGAGAAGAACAGCAGGACAAACTCTTGGTGCTTCAGTTCTCACCAGCTCAGGCAAGTACTGGCAAAAAGCAGAAGCCAGCTCAAAGAAAGCTGCGCGAACCTAGCATAGGCCACAGAAAAACAAAATTTTAGTCAAATGACAACACTTTGTCACTACATGTAGTTTATAACGTTCCTTTTAAAGTCACTGTAACTTACAACACACGGTCCCTGTGTTTTATCACATCAACAAAGGTTTAAATATTATTAAAAATAAAGAAAAATAAAGTAATTCTTTGATAAGCCTGTTTAATATTTTAAAGTAATTTGTTTAGTGATAAAATGCTTATCAAAAATTTTATTTTAAGATCCTTCTCAAAAGGCATGTTTTCCCAAAAGCACCTTAAAACTTCTTAACAAAATACTACCAGAATCAACTCATCATTCTACGCACTATTGGTCTTAGCAGACCAAAAACCAACACAATGTTTAAAAAAATGAAAATCCAAAAGCACTAAGAACACATGCAGTAAGCTGACACAGTTTCTGTCTTTTACATGAATTTGAAATGATGGCAGATTGCCAAGAAGTAGATGATGGTGACATGGAAATAAAAAATTAGCCTACTGGGCAAATTTTAGAGCAACATTGTCTATTTAAGGCCTAGAAATTTGCAGGCTGTTTCAAACATAATTCAGTGAAGAACAAAGTTTATTCTTGTAGAATACAAGTAATTAATATTTGCTTAGGTTCAGAGTATTATCTTTAACTAAAAATAACCAAAACAAAGAAGAAATAAAAAAGTCACCTGTGGTATGCTGTGTTTGCCGTATTTCCAAAATTTGTTTTGGGACAGAAGTGACATTAACTTTTCTTCCAATGAATTCATCTCTTTCTTTGGCAACATGCTAAGCAACTTCTTTAAAGCTAACAAGGAACAGGTCAGAATCCGGAAAAATTTGGCTTCCCTTTCTTCCTCTGGCACAGTTCTCGGAAAACAAAACAGAACAAATTAAAGTGAACCATAAATAAATCAGCAGGCTTCTCCAGCTCTTCTAAACTGTCTAAACTAAACTGTCTTCAGTTTTTCTGTGTTCTTTTGATTTCAGATGCCAGCAATGTAAATATGTAAACTTTCCATAGGTTCTCACGCTACCAAATTACATTATAAAGTGTTAGAAAAAGGGAGAGTTTCAAGTCATCTCATCTTCCAGCTATTTAAAAATACTACTCCTAAAAGAGCTGAAACAAGAATTAGACAACTGATAACACTTTGAAAAGCATTTATACTTCAGTCCCAAAGAAAGTTGCTGGGATCTGGACTCAAATAACTATTCTGTCTCTTGAAACAAAACTAAATCCACTACCTCCAGGGACAGAGAACCCAATACAGAGCAAGACTTAAACCATATACATTACAGCAAGCTAACATACTGGGGGTCACTGAGTGTATTAGGTGTTTCTTTTAGAAGGTGATCTTGAAGTACCTAAGGGGAAAAAAATACATACATACACATGAGAATCTAATATTTATATGTGCATAATATAGTCTATACATTATTCAGAAACAGCTCTACAATAAAACTTCACAGCCTCTGAGTCAAGTCTTTTAAACACATTTTAGACATGCTAGTGAACAAGAACATAAGAACATTTGACTCCTACTGAACATAGTAGCTATGGTACTGTTTGAATCAAGACTTCATAATACTTTGTAAGTTGCAGTCCTATGACAACAGGCTTCTGGTAAAAAAAAGCCAAACTGAGACAAAACAAAATGGTTAAGTTTGCATATGCAAATTTTCACCCTTTTAAATTCAGTCAATTCAGTCTCATGTATGACTGGCAGAAGAGCATTAACCTACTAAACTTGTAAAGGCTCTCTGAAACACTGCTCAGCATTCTTTAATCCTCTACCACTGCAGCTAAACTACTCCGGCATCGTTATTTCATCTGTCAGCAACATTACGTGATGACTGAGCATCATTACATAGAAATGCATACAAGAAAATTCACTTCATATTCATTCCTCTGGTTCCAGTCATTCTAACCACAAGCCAAAAAAACCAGAGGATGTGTCTTTGCCTCGGTCTTCTCTTCATATTAGCAGAAGCAAAGTTTGACGTGAGAAAGAAATTTAACCATGAAGAATAGATGGGGGCAGGACGAGTTTTAGACTTGTAATAAAAGTTGACATATACTCAACACAAAGCCTTAAAGAAATATGTAAGTATAAACTCACATTCAGAATTTCATCTTTACAGAATGCTAAGGCTTCAGGTTGTTTGCTTGAAGGAAAAGCTTTTTCAAAAGCTAATTTTGCAGCAGAAGCAGCAGGGGAGTAATTGTCACATTGAGCAATCAGCCAGTATCCCATGATACTTTTTAAGTAAGGAGCTAAGTGTTTCTTTACTTTGAGAATCAGTTGCTCAAAAGATTGCTGGGTTGCTTCTCGAACACGGCGATCATGATCCTGTTGAAGAAAAAAAGAAGAAAAAAAAAAAAAGAGAAAGGTTTATTGTTTTAAGAAATGTACCTTTGACGCTGGGTGCTTCAAAGCAGAAGTGATGACAAAAAAAAAAAAAAAGCTGTCTCTCAGTTCAGCCATTTTCGCAATGAATTGGGCTATACAGATTTGAAAATACGCAACAACAATGACAAAAAAGTTTTGGTATCCCTAGATAAGGGGAGAATCCTAACTTAGTAGCATCATATTCCCGATGTGTTGTACATTCAAAATTGTAACCTCTTCCCGATATCCCTAACTACAGTTCCTATTTCCATTTTATACAAACATTTAACAGAAAGACAAGAGGCAAGAGAAACAGGAATCCTTGAAGACACTTTTTGGATTAAAATGACCATAAGCCTACACAAATGGTGCATCATTATCCATTGTTTATGTATGAATTTACAACATCATGCCTTTCTATGCTTTTGGCTCCTGAAAGAAATACTAGGAGTTGCTCTAATGGATCAGAATAGTGATTCATTTTGTCCAATTATCACGTTTCCAACAGTAGCCAGTCCAGATAGTTTGGAGATGTACTAAATATATCATAAAATTATGGATTATCTCGCTACACATGGTCTTTTCATGTTTAGGGGTTTTTTTTGTGGTAGTTTGGGGGGTTTTTTTAATATTAAGTCTGGTCAGATATTAGTCCTAGATCAGAAAGATTTATAATTATGTCAACTGAACAGTACATTCTCTTTAGCTGTTCTGGAATCTCCATAAAAGACCTTTTGATGAGAAGAAATATCTTGTCATCTTTTTAACATAAAGGTCTAACAAACAGCTATCTCCATCCAGCAAGTACAGCCCAGGCATCAACAGTTCAAGATTCCACCCACGGCCAATACTGAAACATCTCCACAATAAAGAACACTACTTTCCTTCAACTTCATGTTTTTTCTAGAAAGTCAGTAATTCCAACAAAGTTAGATATATCAATAAAGACTGCCTTAGAGGTTTTCACAGGAAGTATCCAGAGAAGTTTTTAATTTAGATACTTTAATACTTACTAGTGAGATTTTACAATAAATTCTTGGCCAGTAAGGAAGAACACCTTTAACAACTTCCGCTTCTCTTTCCTTGCACATTGTCCCAAACTCTTGCATAGCCTAAAATCAAGATATCAACAGCATGATTTAAGAAGTCAGATAGATATGGTCTGTAATTTATCAGCTTCTACTAAACTCTGCAACTCTCTTTTTCAAAAATCAATTCATTTCTTGCAATTAGCATCTATAGAGCTAATTTTATGAATGCTCTGTCAGCATTGCGTAGTGGACCTTTTTATAAATCCTCCAAGACACCTTCTGGACTGCAGTTCTAGCAAATTTACCAACATGAAATTACTATTAGCTACCTTGATATATTCCTCTCCCATCCTTAAGAAAAATGTATTGTTTTCCGATAAAAAACTTTTATGGGGGACAAAGGATACACCTACTTTTAATTTTGTTGTGATATCCCTTTTAGAAAGTTTTCGCAACACCATTCGAAAATCAGCATCCACAAGGCTGTCTATTTCCTCTGCTCCTTGAACTGCAGGAACATATCCTAGATCGCTCTGAGATGTTCCAAAGCCAATAAACCCAGGCACTGTTCCACGTTCTTTGGCGAGGAGCTCTGCAGCTCGGCCACTGCTAGAAGGCTGACAAAAAACAGGGACAGAAGTCAGTTACCTATTTCAATCATTTTATTTTATTTTGCAAGCATCATGCATTTGAAATAATGATCCTATTTACATTGTATCATTAAGTTTCTATTTGAAACAAAGTCTCACAAAAAAAGGCCACCTATGCTTTAAACATAGAAGTTTGACCTAGAAAATTATTCTTCTCTTTAGAACCAGCATTCCCTTCTCTCATCATGATTTTAAGCCATGAATACTTACGGAAAATTATATTATTTTAATACACATTAAAAAAATTGTAACAGGAAAGTCCTTCCGTAAGTGAACAATTTATTAAGAAGCCATTTACCCTCCTTCACTACTTCTGTTTTTACTAGTTCTTCTCATGTTATTGCATAGACCAATACAGCTCCTGAGGAATACTCTTCACTGTCTCCCACGGCATTCTCCTA